CACACACAACCACACATGGCTAACTTTTGTATTTTTAGTGGAGACAGGGTTTCACCATGTTGGCCAGGCTGGTCTTGAACTCCTGACCTCATGATCCACCCGCCTCGGCCTTCCAAAGTGCTGGGATTACAGGTGTGAGCCACTGCACCCAGCCTTTTGTTTTGTTTTGTTTTTTGTTTTTTTTGAGAAAGAGTCTCATTCTGTTGCCCAAACTGGAGTGCAGTAGTGCAATTATAGCTCACGTAGCCTGAATCCCTTGGGATCAAGTGATCCTCCTACCTCAGCCTCCTCAATAGCTGGGACTACAGGTATGCACCACTACACCTGGCTAATATTTTTATTTTTCCTTTTTGTAGAGACTGGGTCTCACTGCGTTGCCCAGGCTGGTCTTGAACTCCTAGGCTCAAGCGATCCTCCCACCTCAGCCTCTCAAAGTGTTGAGATTACAGGCGTGAGCCACTGTGCCTGGCCTGAGTTGAGTCTTTATTCTAACATCTATCAGGGGAAAAATATGCCTGAAACCTCAAATCTGTGTTCTCAGAGAGTGGTTGCTCAGGGTGGGGCTCAAGTAGGCATTGTTGGGGTGTCCACTCTCTGCAGTCCACAGCAATTATGGTGAGGAGTGTGGGGAGAAGAAGGTCAGAGTGTCCGTGACTCCCTCACTGTTGTCCTCTCTCCCAACAGGCACTGCAAAGTCAGCGATGAACTGACTTCATCCCAGTCTCTCAGCCCCCACCAGGACCAATCTGGAGTCCCTCCCCTGCCCCCATTCAAATTTCCCTTCTGTCCCCAAACTCATCTCTGATCTAGACCTTACTCACCTGCTTCCTGTTTCCTAAGACTCCTTCCTGCAGTCCCCAGACTGAGCCTTTTGTCTTTGTCCAACCTGTGCCAGACACCTCCTTTTCCAGAACGTTCTTACTAGTGACCTTATCTCTGTTTCCTTCTGGGGTCCTAGGAAATGCCAGCACTCCCGTCCGCATTGCCTGGACTTTCCGACACTCCCTAACTGCCCTGTGTCCTATCTCAACACTGTCTCATGTATTTCCTGTGTCTTCTAGAACATCCTCCAGCCATTATTACTTCAGTATGGCTACACATACTTCCTAACTGCCCTGCAAACATCTCCTTCTCACCGTTGCCCAGTGATGCTTTCATCCCCTCCATAAACACTCCCCGAGACCAATTTTTGTGTCACCCCTATACTCCCTCATTGACACCCTGATTAACTCTATACATAACCTCCTTGACAAACCTCTTTATTAATCTCATCATCCTCCAGACTTCCTTCCTGTCATAACTCCATCCCTCCTCCAACTTTTCCCTCTCAAGCTCTGCCCTTCCCAGCCCAGCCCAGCCTACCCGACCTCAACTCTTCCCTGTAGACTACATCCCACCATGTTCCCCTGAGCCTCCAAGGAAGGGGCTCAGGGGGCCCCATGGCCTCCCGCTCCCCGTGGCCCCACAGCCCTCGTGGGCCAGGGGAAGCGTCCCAGAAGCCGAAGTGCCCACCATGGGCAACCACACGTGGGAGGGCTGCCACGTGGACTCACTTGTGGACCACCTCTTTCCGCCATCCCTCTACATCTTCGTCATCGGGGTGGGGCTGCCCACCAACTGCCTGGCTCTGTGGGCGGCCTACCGCCAGGTGCAACAGCGCAACGAGCTGGGCGTCTACCTGATGAACCTCAGCATCGCCGACCTGCTGTACATCTGCACCCTGCCGCTGTGGGTGGACTACTTCCTGCACCATGACAACTGGATCCACGGCCCCGGGTCCTGCAAGCTCTTCGGGTTCATCTTCTACACCAACATCTACATCAGCATCGCCTTCCTGTGCTGCATCTCGGTGGACCGTTACCTGGCCGTGGCCCACCCACTCCGCTTCGCCCGCCTGCGCCGCGTCAAGACCGCCGTGGCCGTGAGCTCTGTGGTCTGGGCCACCGAGCTGGGCGCCAACTCGGCGCCCCTGTTCCATGACGAGCTCTTCCGAGACCGCTACAATCACACCTTCTGCTTTGAGAAGTTCCCCATGGAAGGCTGGGTGGCCTGGATGAACCTCTATCGGGTCTTCGTGGGTTTCCTCTTCCCGTGGGCGCTCATGCTGCTGTCGTACCGGGGCATCCTGCGTGCCGTGCGAGGCAGCGTGTCCACCGAGCGCCAGGAGAAGGCCAAGATCAAGCGGCTGGCCCTCAGCCTCATCGCCATCGTGCTGGTCTGCTTTGCGCCCTATCACGTGCTCTTGCTGTCCCGCAGCGCCATCTACCTGGGCCGTCCCTGGGACTGCGGCTTCGAGGAGCGCGTCTTTTCTGCATACCACAGCTCACTGGCTTTCACCAGCCTCAACTGTGTGGCGGACCCCATCCTCTACTGCCTGGTCAACGAGGGTGCCCGCAGCGACGTGGCCAAGGCTCTGCACAACCTGCTCCGCTTTCTGGCCAGCGACAAGCCCCAGGAGATGGCCAACGCCTCACTCACCCTGGAGACCCCACTCACCTCCAAGAGGAACAGCACAGTCAAGGCCATGACTGGTGGCTGGGCGGCCACTCCGCCCTCCCAGGGGGACCAGGTGCAGCTGAAGATGCTGCCACCAGCACAGTGAACCCCGTGTGGCACAGAACCCCCAGTTTTCCCCTCTCATCCCACAGTCCCTTCTCTCCTGGTCTGGTGTATGCAAATTGTATGGAAAAAGGGCTATGTTAATATAAGAATACAAGAACTTAGGAAGAGTGAGGTTGGTGTGTCGCTGGTCAACTTTTGTGCTCCCAGATGCCATCACAGTTTGGCAGTTGTGGAAGGCCTCCTGGAGGAGGAGATGAGTAAATATTTTTTTTAGAGACAGGGTCTCGCTGTGTCACCCAGGCTGGAGTGCAGTAGTGCAATAGTGGCTCACTGCAGCTTCCACCTCCTGGGCTCCAGAGATCCACATCAGCCTCCCGAGTAGCTGGGACCACAAATGTGCGCCACCATGCCTGGCTAATTTTTGTACTTTTTGTAGAGA